ATTCACTTGTTGTAGAAATGGCGCAATTCCTTCAATGTGGTCCGGATTGTAAATCTTTTTTGCAGCAGCGTTTCTCGCGGAATACGTCGGATGAATCCTGCCATTCTTGTGCTTCAAATTGTTGTTGAATGATAGTTTCAATAGATACAAATATAGCGCGCTTCTCTTTATGGTATTCAGCTCTTCATCATGATTGAATATCTCCACAAACTTTTGGAATGATTCTTTGTCTTTTGAATACGATGAAAGCTCATGAAGCAATTCTTTCTTGTTGTTTCTTATAGCGCTATACAGGTTTGTCATATTCGCATCCTTGTCATTGATGAAATACTGCTTAATATCTTTGTATGATTCTGCTATATGAAACAAGACGCTTCCACCACCCACAAATGGTTCAAAGTAGCGATTAATGACTGAGGGTAACTTGGCATCAATGTGATTCATAATTTTCGTCTTTGAACCAACATATGATACAAATGGCTTCATTTGTTCCTTTATTTGTATTCAACCAAAAAAGACCCCGGTATGGGTCTTTTGCGGGTCGATCCTCATTTTGATACTGGTAGCAAATTGCTGTTTCGAGTGGGGAAGCATATTTCATAGGTAGCAAAATATTCTTCCAAAACTATTTTTTAGTAGGCCAAACAAAAAATTTTCATTTTTTTTTTTTTAACTTCTTGTTTTTTACAAAAGTTTTTCAGAATATTTTGCTACCTAATGAAATATTCGAGTAGGGACCATCACCATATTCTTCCCTACTCGAATAAAAATTTGCTACCCAAATTGCTACCTCAATTTTGCAACTTGCGCTCAATATGAATCCGCTTTGACATAGAAGGTGCTTTTTGAATATTGTTGATCAGATGTTGCGTAGTAGACAATGAAATATTCAGTTCTTTGGCCAATTCACGCATCGTTTTGGCCTCGACGATACATTTTGTATCTTTGCTGACTCGAACTATGGCAATATAGTGAAATCTTTGCTTCATTTTTACCTCTGTATTATATATGACACAATAAAATATTGATAGGAAGTGGTCCAAAAAACTTATATAAGTGCGTTTGAGTTTGAGACATCACTAAAATCTTTATTTTAGTTTGTACTGAATACAACACAAAGTCATGGTCCAAACTCAGCTATTCAAGGTCGCCAAAAAGATGAGAGCCTACAACCCCTGGTTCAATCCCGTACCAGCAAGTGTCAAAGACAAGCGACCTTTGGGCTTATGGAAGGCAGGAAAATACACTTTTGAACGTGATTTCCAAAAGAGAGAGAAATGGGATGATGAATGTAATTTGGGTCTCATCATCAATTCGAAATATCTTGTGCTTGATATTGACAATAAGCCCCCCGCAAACAAGTCTAGTACTAAGAAATACTCTGAGAATACGGGGATTGATGATTTCAACACTTTGGTTTCAGAAAACGAATTCCTTCCCAAGACTCTCTCAGTCACTACACCTTCAGGCGGAAAGCATTATTACTTCAAATTGACGGGTATTGCCGAAGAATCCATGTTAAAGAACTGGACCGCTTGCATGTCTCTCAATGATAAATTGATCGCAGTCGATATCAGAAAACAGGGTGGGTACGTCATGTGCCCGGCTAGCACCAAAGGACCAAATAGTTATATTTGGGATGATCGTGAAAACGAATACCGCGTGGAAATGGCTCCGTTGCCACAATGGATTCTTCGCAATATTCAGACCACTATGGAAAAACATGAGAAACACTTTAGCCGTCAAGAATTCACTTCATCGCCAGTGGACAACGCGCCGCTCAATAACAATGATGTAGACATGTTTAAGAAGAGTGAATACTATCTGGAACAGTTTCAAATTGACCAAAGTCCCAATCGTGACAATATGTTCATCATCACAGCAACCGCACCTTACATGTGTAAAGTTTGCGAACGACATCATACAAACAATACGAATCATCCCTTTTTAGTGAGAAACAAAGGCACACTTCGTTTTGTTTGTCGTAGTGGCCGGGGTAACAATGTTTTGCCAAATCCTTTGATCTCGCACTGTCCCCTGCATCATCGATAAAAAGCAGTATTCGATCCTCACAATCATTCTCCTGTTGTTCTTTAACTACTTCTGCTATACTAGTATTTGAGACATCATCGATGAAATAAATATTCTTGTGTTTTGTCGTCTTTGCTAATTGTTGAATACTAGTATCATATCGCACAGTATCTGACATTATGATAATCTTGTCGAATCTGTTAGCGTATACATCCTGAATCAATCCCGCAACTAATGCAGACTTGCCCCCTTTCCTTGGTGAGACAAGCGTACAGCAGAGAGGATGCGACGGTAACGGCTCAGGGACGCGAGGATCCCTTTCAATAGCTTTCGGATTAAATATGGGCTTCACCTTGTACGTCGTCATTTATTTATTACTTAGATAATAACAAAAGACATCATGACCATCAATGAGTGGACCTATTGTTCTCTAAAGCGTCGATCGTTCAATATAGAGAAGCGGAACGTTTCATTTGTGAAAATCCTGTCAGTGAGTTTTATTCAAGATTACGATTTGATCAACAATACCAATAACGTATTCGCCTTCAAAGAGGACGGGAATACCGACACTATTAAAGCCAGTATTCCTCATGGCAACTACACTGTCTCAAACTATCCTCAAGTTGTAGCAGCCGCGATGACCACAGCTGGGAGTCAAGCATATTCAAGTAGTTACAACCAAATTACTCGAAAGATTACTATAACAGCTGTCGACAAAGACTTTCAAATTTTGCCAGGTATGGAGGGAACTACCGCATATTCTGTCTCTGGGTATTCGAATCGAACTGCATCGCCTATGGCAAAGACTGTCACATTTAAAAATAGTGTGAATCTATCTGGTTCCTACCCGATTTTACTGACATCGAATATCAATGTTCCAAGCGTTAGATATCTATCTGATTACAATGATACCGCGAGTACCGTTATCAGTGTACTGTCACCCGATTCGTTTGGGGACGTCATTACATTCACCAACGATTCGGAATGGTTACCCTGTAACGATACGATTAGCAAGGTTGAGTTTCATCTAATTGATTCACAAACTGGTGAAGAATTAGCACTGAATTCACCATTAACAGTGAGATTCTTGATAGCCGACGACATTTCAGATGTTCAATAAATTATTTTTTTGTAGAATACAAGTAACAATGTCGGACCATAACGAAAATGAGCTACCAATCGAGCCTGAGCAACCCATTGAAGAAGAAGTTGAACAAGAAATTGAACAACCCGTTGAACAAGAACCTTCTCCTTCACCAGAACCAATTCAAGAAGTGAAGAAAAAGAAACAAACAGCGAATATGATCAAAGCGCAAAAAGAACGGACTCGACAATTAAGAGAAATGCAACAGAAACGAGATCAAGAGAAACGAATACAAGATGAAAGAAAACGTATTCAAGATGCCTATGATTTGGTAAATGAATTAGAAGAGAAAAAGAGACAAGAAAAGCAACAAAAGAAAAAAGAAAGGGCGCGTAAAAAAGCGGAACGTTCTTCAACATCGAATACCAAAAAGAAGGCTGTTATTCCAAAGAAACCAGTTGCTACACGAAAAGCAACACCTGTTCCACAATATTCAAATGATGATGATTTTGGTGGAATATTCGGATAAGTGTTTTTTATTTTTTATTCATATAGTAAACAACCACAGCATAAATCATGACCGATAATCAAGTACCCCGCAACTGGTTAACGGCGACACGAAATTTTTCAAAACCGTACAGCAACCCCCGCCTGGAAAGTATTAACAAGTGGTATTGTATCGGGCAAGATACATTTACGTCCAAGAATCGACAAGCAGCACCTATTAAAATCTCATTGCACGACGCTTCTCGATCCCTTCAATTGCAGAATCTTCTGTTGAATTTCAAAGTACAAGTATTCAAGAATGGGCAACCAGTTTCAGGGAATACGGTCATCAACAGCAGTCTCGGCTTGGAATCTTTGATTCAATCGGTACGAGTCTGTATCGGTTCGAAAGAATTGCAAAAGATTGACAACTATCCCGAATATCTCAAGACTGTCTACAAGTATCTACCAAAGACGCAAAAGACATTCTTGAAGTCACTCAGTGGATATGGTGTTACGAATATTTTTGAAACAGACAGTGTAGCTGGGTGTTCTACCCATCTTCCTATAGGATTCCACCATCCAGATAATGACTCATTGTTCCACGTGTGGGCAACGCCGAATCAAACTTTAGATTACTATATCACCTTGCGCGATCCTGCTCAGGCATTCAAAAACAATGTCGTTGATGAAGTGAGATTTAGTGAAACTTCCATCATGACACCTACCTACCAACCGCCCCCCGAATTCCAGCTCGCTGTTCAGCGTGCGATTGCCGCAGGTAAAGAACTGTTCTACGATTACACACGGTATTCTACTCAAGAGTTGGCCTGTAATGGATCCACTCGTCAAACTTACCGTATTCACATGAATGGTGTTCGAAGTTTGAAGGCCTTTGACTTTTCCTTTGTCGATGAAGACCTTCTTGCTAATCCTGCACTAGACAAGAATGAAATATCCTCCTCTAAAGGTTTGAAAGAGCGGTTCATCCAAATCGGTAACCTTGTAACGCCGAATGGTACTACTGGATTTTTGAACGGTCCTGCCAATCCAGAAACACTGCTCATTTCGCAGATTAAAGGTAACTACTTGTCTGCAGTGGGTGAGATGGATTTACCTTCTCTATCAGATTATCAAAACAAGTTCTTTAGCGCAGGTTTCTCATATCAAAGCATCGATGAATCTTCAAGTGCGGCCTTGTCATTTGTTAACACTGATTCGATTCTTGAAATCACTACTATCCACGAATCAGGCCAACAACCTTCTACCAACTGTCGCATGGTATTCCAGTATTCTGAGAACGTCACACTCTCAATTAGCACACTAGTCGATGTGATCTAGACGAGAAATTGAATATTTAAAAAAAAACATAAAGATAAGAATATAATCATAAAAATCCGGCTGTAGTGTAAAGGTTATCATAAGGTTTCATCGCATTCCCGATGCAGGGTTCGAATCCCTGCCGGCCGAAAATATAACAGACTTTGAAATATAAAAAGCTTCAAATTACCGCGTTTGTAACCCAATGAATAAAAAACATGAACAATGTTAAAATGGAAAGAGATACAGGAAAAATCTCGTTGTTGCGTATCGAACCAGATGAAAAGGGACTTTTTCAGATCGTCTCTTGGTCTCAATGTGCTTTGTTATCTTCATTACATCTATCCGGGCTATCTGAAAATGAATTAAAGAAAGTTGATGTTGTAATTGAATTTACGAGAGTTGATCAGGACTTGGAAAAAATAAGAATACCACTCAATAACCTCAAGAAATATGCAAATTCGCTTATGTCATATCTGTTTCCATTATTTTTTACTTATGATGGAAGTCTGACAATCAGTTTTTGCAAGGGTGAAAAACTTGTAATACCAAAAGAAATATTCATAATTATGAAAATACCCAGTCCGAACAGTCACATATTAGTAGAACGTATTAAAGATCTGGACCAAGAGTTTAGAATCTCAATAGCAGGTCAAGATGTGTGTTTAATGAAAAAATCAATGCCCGAATCATACAAGAATCAATAAAGAATCACGAAAGAATAGAGAGTGTGAGGTATCCGTATCGAGATGATAGGGATAGATCCTGAAAAGTGAATATTTCATTCCCTTTCGTTCTGATGCGGTGAGGGTCACTGATTCACACTTCCACACACTGCCTCATATTCAGCAATTTGAAAAAGTCGTGATTTTTCCCCAAAAGTAAAACACACTTAAACGTTTATTACGTTTGTGGTATTTTTCCGACTTTTTGCTAAAAGTTAAGCAACAAGTAGCGACATGTAGCATGGTACGAAGCATTGACCTCGGAGCGAATAAGCGGCAAGAGATTCAATTGGTTCTTTCCTATCCATACAAAGAAAAGGTATCGATACAATCCGGTTCTATAAAAGCGACGAACCTGCCTGACATTGCCTCAGTTAGAATCAAGTTAGCGCCAAATAGCATCAAAGAGCAATGAGTCGATTGGAGGATCGAGTATTGGAGTTTATCAACCTTGACATATCAGCAGAATATGAGGCGGCGAATAGAGTCGTCAAGAAGCACACCGCAGCTTTAGAATATATCAAGCAAGAAATGAAGAAGAAGAATATAACTTCATTATCAGTGAAGGACGGCGGAATATCCAAGAAACTATCGTTCAACATCAAGAAACAAAGCCGCGTCGATATCAAGGCATTACCGATGGATATTCGCGATTCATACCAGACGACTTTAGATGTTTGGCTCAGAAACGTGACAGTGGAGAATCCAGCGGCGGATGACGTCATAGTGATAGATAAGTGTGAGAGTCGAGGCCGTTACGTTTTGTCGCGGTGAGGGTCACTGATTCACACTTCCACACACACTTCATCATATTCATCGTATTTAGCAATTTGAAAAAGTCGTGATTTTTCCACAAACGTAAAACACACTTCAACGTTTATTACGTTTGTGGTATTTTTCCTACTTTTTTGCTAAAAGTTTAGCGACATGTAGATGGGGGACCTTCGGTGCGAATATGCCACAAGATTCAAGTTGTGGGCGGTTGCCCTCGGATTTGACTCGATTTTGGATCTGGTCAAAGTTCTATTAATAGATTAGAGTTAGCATCGAATGAGTATGTGGCCGCTCGGATCGTGTCAGAATCCTATTGATAGATAGTTGCCACGATCTTAGATCGGATTAGTATAGTTATGTATCTATATAGGGAGCTTTTGACACGGGCGAGATCCTAACGATAGATCTCCGAATACAGGCCTGATCTCTTGACACGGTTCAAAAACGTGTCAATTTTAAACTATATCATTAAACTGTATGCAGCTATTCAATCCCTATATAGACATCAAAGGGCTGACACGGTGCATATTGACACTGACCACCCACCCGGGTGGGTGGTCAGTGTCAATATGCACCGTGTCACACTCTTTTACATTAGAATTTACATCAGTATAGCACCCATCAGTTGTCGCGGAAATTGTTCGGACCGTCGGACATTGCTTACGTAAATTTTTGGCGGGAAAATCTCGGGTTGCGCTGAGGGGGGCTGGGCGTCGCTAGAACGGGCCACGGGGCGGGGAGCATCGGCCGGCTGGTGGAACACTACGCCGTCCATAGGTTCAGCGGTAGTGGCACTGCGGCGGGCCGGGACATCGACTGGGTCGAGTGACCCGAAGGTAATCTGGCTTTGACCCTCTTCGGCACCGACAAGAAGGACTTCGTCCTCCTCACTGTTGAGATGTGAACTGGAGCAAGTGTGGGAAGCTGGGAGTCTTAAGTCATGTAGCCAATTTTAGATAGATTATTAGTACACGTGAGCATGGGAACGCGTCTCTACGCGTACCGTTGGCGTCGTTAGATAGCAGACAGCTTGGCAGCTTAGAACTACAACCGTTTTCTTCTCAATACATTTCTTCATCGCAACAACCAACTCGAGTGCAAGAATAAAAGTAAGCTAGAGTTTACAACGGCGTACCGCCGGCCTTTTATATGGAAGAAAAACTAAACTATATCACGCGTGTGGCGCGACACTCCCAGTTGCTACCGAACTCCGGTGGTAGACACCGGATGGTACGAGTGTGAAAGATCACTGCGCAGTCTTGGACTGCGCTACTGCGCTACTGCGCCGCAAGGGCCCAGATCCGCTACAATAAAACAAAAGCAAAAGGAATACCAATGAAGGAACAGCAGGAGTAGTGCTGCATAATTGAGGTTACTGATGTATTGGGCACAACAGGGGGTGTCAAACATGGGCAAATCGTGATTTATATCGCAGCGATATACCACTTTTTGTCCGCCAATATAACACTTTTTTAACTATGTGGATGAGGGAAATTGCAAAGGGGTCAGGGGGATCGGTCTGATGAAAGAAAGGGGCTCAAAGAAAAGTAAAATGGACGCTATATGCAACTTCCCAGGTTGCGAGAGTTCGGGTAGTGTAATGGTCGAAAAACACTTAAAGTTATGTCTAATGCTATCAGAGTACTTTATGATGGAAGAAATCTTAGAAAACCTGTCACGAGTGTGGCGCATGCCGGCTCGCATGTTAAAGCTGGTATCCTATATCGGGACTAGTAGCTTATTGAATTAGATACAGCAGTACGTAGGTCATATGTCGTCCAACTATAAATAGGATTCTACCGCTAAACTATGCTGCAATATGACCACTATCCACTAAATGGGAAGGATGAGTCATGACGTCTCAACACCACCCCTTCATCTGAACTCATTTGGATAGATGACCGAAGATCTGGTTGCTATGGAATCGGATCAGATGAGGATGATGCTGACGTATGTTGCTTTCGGGCGTAAAGTCGCTTCAGAGCAGATGATGAGGTCCTTCAACTTTCTCACCTTTGCGCATCGGAGACTGGGACGACAAGGTCCTTCGGCTTTCTGGCGTTCGTAGGCTTCTGAGTTGGGACAGGAGGTATGACGTTCAAGCGTCGAAATATTGATGAGAACTGATCAAATGGTAGAGCTTTCGTAAGAGCATCGGCAAGCATATCAGCGGTGGGCATGTACTCGAAACGAACGTCGCCGGCAGCTACACGTTCGCGGACGTAGTGGTGCTGGATGTCGATGTGCTTCATCCGTGCGTGGCCAACTGGGTTGTTGATAGTCTTGATAGTCGACTGGTTGTCTTCGAAGATAAGTATAGGTTCAGAAGAGTACTGGGTAATGGTTAACTCCTTGAGCAGATTCTTCAACCACATCGCTTCCTTCGTTGATTGCGTTGCTGCCATATATTCTGCCTCGGTAGTGGAAAGCGCGATGGTTACTTGAAGTTTCGAGACCCAACTGACAAGAGATCCGTGGAGCAAGAAAACGTAGGCTGTTCGAGAACGTCGACTTGTTTGATCACCACCCCAATCAGCATCAGAAAACCCAATAAGACCATCATGTGGAAGAATAGCAGGGTGAGTTGGAACAGTCGCTTTCTTCGGAAACCAGAGACCAACATCAGGCTGACCTCGCAAGAAGTGTAGGATGCGAAGTACTTTCTTCTTGTCGGACTGCTTGGGAGTAGACATCTTGGAGGCGACCATAGACACGGCAAATGCAATGTCGGGCCGAGTTGCGACCATTGCATACATAAGGCTGCCAACAATCTGTCGATACGGGAATGTCGGTTCAAGAGACAGATCGTTGTCAGTATCCGTGATGGTAGCCTTTGTTGAACTTGCCGGAGTGCGTCGCTTCTTCAAAGGTGTTGGATCAACCGACTCGTACTTTGCAAGCATCTCCTTGATATACTGTCCTTGGTGCAAGTGCCATCCGTCGTTGTATCGCTCAAGCTTGATTCCGAGTATCCAGTCGAGTGTTCCCAAGTCTGTCATCTCGAAATTGGCGCTAAGTTCACGTTTCACCCCCTCGAGGGCATCGTCATTGCTGGTGGCTATGATGATGTCATCGACATAAACAGCGACAACAACCAGATCAGGAGCACGACGGAAGAACAAAGACGGATCGCCCGAGCAAGCCGTAAAACCGAGAGAAAGCATGAAGGTTTTGAGAACAGAGTACCATTCGCGGGGGGACTGTTTGAGGCCATAGAGAGTCTTCATGAGCTCCAAAAAGTCGTCAGGATCACCAAGAGGGTAGCCGGGAGGTTGCCGCATCCAGACGCGTTCACTGAGTTTACCATTGAGGAACGCCGTTTTCACATCCATGTGCCAGAGTTGAAGATGATGGTGAAGGGCAAGAGCGAGGAGAAGACGAATAGTTTGAATTTTCACCACGGGAGCAAATGTTTCGTTGTAGTCGATCCCAAACTTCTGCGAGTATCCAAGAGCCACAAGACGCGCTTTGTATCGAACAACGACACCCTTGGCATTGCGTTTGCGTTTCAAGACCCAACGACACCCAATAGCGACACGTTTGCGACCAGTCTCGTTGTCAATCGGAAGTGGACGTACACGCCAGGTGCCATGACGGTCGAGGGAGGCCAGTTCGTCCTTGATTGCAGCATCCCAGAGAGGCCAGTCTGG